TCCATCTTTCAGATGTTTGCTCTTTTCATCTGATGCCACGCGGAGAAGGCGGACGAGACAGGATACGAGAACGCGAGGCAAAAGTGGATCTGAAAAAAGGGTGGACAGTAGAGTACGAGCAGGGAGATTTCCGATAATGTTGGTTTCCCCGTCAGCGCTCAGGGCGGCTTCTCTTGGCCGAGCACGAACGGAAAAACCGCATGCTATTATTTCTCTCATTCCGTCTTGTGTGTCACTTCACTAGTACCTCGCAGTGACCAATATCCGCTCAACTCATCTCAGGCTTTCCTCGGCCGATCATCAATGGGCAAGTGCTGCGTTCCTGTGTAGGAGGTGTATGCAGTCCGGATGCATGCTTGTTGGATACCTTGCATGCTTACCCCGTAGATATGCGCTCAGCTCAGATCTCAAATGCGTGTGCGAGTCAATTAATCTCGCGTCTTTTCTCCGAGACATCTTTGGCCGCTGCGGTCCCGCGGTTGGCGGGGGATGATATACGTAGAAGCGACGGTCCTATCATTTGTATGCCGATGCAAGGGGATAAAAGTCTAAAAGTAGATTGCGGCTCTGCTGCTGCGCTTTGCGCGCCAGACCCAGTGCAGTAGGTTAATGGGTATGGAGAAGGACAAGGAGGGGTAAGAGGTACCCAGTAAAGTGGTTTTGGGCGAGAAGAGAACCGGGTCATTGAAGGGGTGGCATCACGGAGCATGCATCTTTGGCCCCGATTGGCAGGGTAAACGAACGACGGATGATTCGTGCTTGGACTCGAACCCATCACGATGCGAATGCATTATGCGAAATGAACTTGAGGACTCGAAAATGGGCGAGCTTGACAAGATGTGCATTCATCACAGTAGGGACGGATGGACTCTGTAACTCATGAACATGACTTCCTCAACGGTCATCTGCTCGTATGAAGAATTGAACCATGCCAATTGTTTGCATCTGCGGATTTGGGAATAAATCGACAGTGGCGTCGAATGCACCAATGGCATGTACTATCAACCCTGAATCATACATTGTATCTATTCGCCAAAGTGACACCACCAATGATCATTGCATGATATGACATAGCAGCCCACCTCTTTCCATGTATGCAATTCCAACGCCATCTTGCCTAAACCCTCTCTTCCACAAAATCCAAAAACTCGCAGTCATCCTCGAAGATCTCGTCTTCTGTGCCCGCCACTGTCCCTTCGTCTTTCGTGCTGCGTTTTCGCCGAGTCGTTACGACGATTTGCTGGCCCTCCTCTGCATTGCCTTTCATACTAATGACATTCTCCATCCGCGATGGCGTAGCTTGTCCCAAACCTGGATCATCATCTTCGTGGCCGGTAGGGCCGACGCTGATCTTGGTAGCGGGAACAGGCTCTCCAAATACCCAGGTGCTTGTCCCTTGAGATATAGTAGAAACGGCAGATGTGACCTCGTCACTGTAGATGTAGAGATTGACTCGTCGATCTGTATGAAATGGTTGATAGGCCAGACTTGTGTCCAATTCGGCATAGGAAAGAGGGTGCGTTTCGAGTTTCGAGTTCGATAACACTGGTAAAGCAGGCTGTGGATGCCAGAACGAGCCATGAGGTGTTGAAGGCTCAGGTGACGATCGAGAATTGGGAAGCTGTTTACTCATAACGTGCTGGGTTGCGGCTGGCTCTTTTGGAAGACTGAACTCGACTGGTCTATCGCCAAAGACTGAGGGCCGTCGCTGTCGAGCTTGGGAGTTGCTGCTTTGGCGAATACTGTAGATCCGTACAAGGCCTCCACCAGTGACGGCGATGCGGCCTAGGCCCTTTCCACTAAGCCATCTGACGCAACCCGGCGCCACAGCACTCTGGGAACTTGGTAGAGCTAGACGATTCTCACCTAGATGGCGGATTGTATTCACGGTGCCTGCAGCTGCTGCACCGACAGATCTGTTGAAGCCAGCTGCCACGGCTCTTCCACTTTTCGCACCAATACCGGCGGTCAATGCCATACCGCCAAATCCGGAAAAGCCACTTCCCACGCTTGGACGACGCCCACGAACGGCATCGATAAGAGGTTGAGTCTTGCCGGTAAACATGCCGAAGGCCGAGGAAAAACCATTGCTAGCACCAGCCGATACAGGCCTTGCACTGTCGTCGTTTTTGGCACCAGTCGCACTTGAGGCGCTTGCGGAAATGCTACTACGTAAAATCCGACGAGGTGGTGGCCATTGAAATGCGGAAGGCGGTAGTTCGTTGATGTGGACAGTGCCTCTATCAGTAATGATAGCCAGTCGCTCTCCTTTGGGTTCCGTCCAAACAACGTCTACGATCCTGGCCTCAGTCATGCGAGTTATCTTTGCAACTTGGCGGACACTGGGACCTTTCGGAGATGCGTCAGGGTCTCCTGCACGTGCAGCTTCCCCATGCACCATGCGCATCAAGTCCCAAACATGCTCAACATCCCCTTTTGCACTTGCTGTCAGTAAGTGCAAGCCATTTGGAGAGAACGAGAGCAGACTACATCCAGTCGGCAGCGAGAAAGTGGCCAGCGGTTGTAAAATTGAAGCGGCTTTTGAGTGCTGACTCTTTGACAGTTTTTCCAAATCAAAAATTGACACCAGCGCGGGCCGATTTTTTGCTCGGTTGACTGGACTGTCCTGTGCATGAGTAGGAGGAAAGCTCTGCTGATTTGATAGCGCTGATAGATCAGGGGTAGAAGGAGGAGCTGCGGGTCCTTGCTGGCTTTGTTCGGACGGTTTGGACCAGTAATTACTCCATGCCTGCTTCCCTTCAAGCCCAACCCATTGAGCGGTCTTCAAGAACCCCTGTGCAATATCCCGAGCAGCTTTGTTGAGTAAGCCTCCGCCTTCTGGAGTGTCAAGATCACATGATATCTGAGGTTCCGCAGCGGGTGCATGGGAGCTGACTCCGGGGGCTTTATGGCTTGGGCCGTCAGGCTCGGCTTCTCCATGGAGGGTAACCTGCGCCGAGGACGATGGTGGTGCGACAGCAAGCCATCGGTTGCTCAGAGAAAGAATAATAGCACTGGATCGGCGGGTACCTGCAGCGAGTGCATCATGCAACCGTGCGGGTCCAGATTCACTGGAGGAGGTGGACACGCTGCGAGTCTTCCGGGACCCTATTCGTGTCCAGACCTTGCCTAAACATCTGAAGCTCGGCAACGTCTCGGAATTTCCATGGAGAATCCTCTCAAAGATGAAGACTTCCCCACTGATGCCCGAGCTGATGACTAAAAATCTTCCTTTCGCTTGGATACTTAGGTCTCCTACAGGATGAGGCATGGTAGAATGCAGACGTCCACCCTTGATTTCGACCTTCGGACTTCTGAATAGCGTCCCTAAATGCTGTCCTTTCCTCAGAGAATAGATCTCCACAGTAGTCTGGTAATGAGTTATGGCTGCCGCCTGCAGAGCCTGCATCTCTGACATCGAGGGTTCAAACTCTTCCTCTACCGCATGGCTGGTTCCAGGCCTGGATGGAGCACTTGATATAATGTATGGACCATGTACGATGACGGCGATTAATGGCTGGAGCGGTCGGTCACTGACGCATTGGGAGTGGAGTATTTTGGCACCAACTACAGATCCTCTAAGACCATCTAGGCGACCAACAAGGTCGAAGCGTTTCCTGCCAATATGATAGATATTCAAGCCATGGTCGAAACCCACTAATAAGACATTCTCTGTGTTTCCGGAGACTTCGTGCCCAGAAGACAAGAGGCTGTCAAAAACACAGCAGAAACCCTCACCGGGCACGCCGTCTTCTGGTGCCGGCTCAGGATGACCCAAGTCAATTTCTGGCGCTGCGTAGTAATGCGCTTGCTGGTGGTGTGGCGGTGGAGGAAAGTGGGAGTTCTGAGAGTGCATAGACGGAGGCCTCCGGTTGGAAGGAGACGAACCCGCATAGTCCCCAAAGCTCTGATATTCGTTGGTCCGCTGTATAGGCTTGCGGTAGGCAGCTCTTGGCGAGGTTGGAGGCGAGGTGTGAGAGAATCCTCCTCGAAGCTCGGGATCAAGAGGTGGGCGATATTCTGGAGGGGATCCGGTTCGGCGGACTCCGTTACTAAAATCATGTGGAGGACTACGACCAAAAGGAATATTCTGAGCCCATTCTGTTGTATTTTGGGCGGGTATGTCTGATGAACGTGTGGGAGCAGAAGCATCCCAAGCTTCTAGACGAGGGGACGAGACACCGTTGGAGACTGGAGGAGGAAGAGGAGGAGACATCGAATGACGTAGTTGTGAGAGAATGGAAGGAGGAGAGGTCCTTGAGTACGCAGACTGGTCAGCGTGTTTCTATCGTGGTTGACAAAGCCATCCCTGCTGCGTCCGCTGTCTTCCATTGATCTTGACTTACAACTCTTGGGGCAAATCCCTATGCGACCTCTCCGCATTCTCTCCACTGGCTTCATGCTTCTTCCGACTCTTACCCTGGCCCTTGCGAATTGGCGAAACCCTTCTTGAAGCTTCTTCTTGGTAGAAGGAACCGATCTCGACAGCCGGCTGCTGTTGGCTTGACGCTTGGTCTGACGACGGGGGCATTCAACTTGCAAAGAGGGGTTCGGAGTACGAATTGCGTAAAGGTGTCTTGTTCATGAGCTCCGAAATGAAGAGTGAGATTGCTGCTCGTCGTTCTCTCCGGGAGTCGATCAGCAGATGCAGGTACCCAAAAAGCTGGTGCCTGGATAGAGCTGGTGACGGGAACACGCGTGACGACTGGTTCCACTTGATCTAATCGTAAGCAGAAGGGTGTGTTGTCACACAAGCAAAGAGTGTCTGGGAGGTGAACCATGAGGGGTTGAGGAGTCTCGACCGTGGGGGTGGGTCTGGTGCTCCGCAACTAGGTCATCGCAGGGGTTTGCCCTAGTCAAGCAGCGAGAATTGTTGGATTTGATATGATTGACAAGCACATATACGGGCATCTTGAAAATTGGTCTGCTTTCTTCATGGGTATCTATCTGCATTTCCAAGAATACATGGAAGTTGCACTTTTGAGCGCAACTCAATACCATCAATTCCCATGTATCCCCACAAGCCTCGAACCAGAAAACCCCTGACGATCATTCATTCTCGGCTCTTCAACTGTAACTTCTACGGCGACGATCTGATCTAGGAGGTGGTGTGCGGCTGCGAGATGAGTACGACGGGCTTCGCCTCCTGCGTTCTCTTCGGAGCGAAGGTGAACGAGAAATATCGGAAGGTGTAATCGATCTTGCTCGGCCAGCGCCACGTCTAGGCGGTGTTCGTCGCTCTCTACCCCTACCAGAGTCCCTCCGTGGAGGTGTTTGAGAGCGGCTTGGGGAGAATTGACGGCGCCGTGCTGTACGTGAGCGCGATGATGAACGTGATTTCGACCGCGAAGACGCAGTATACGACGAGTACGAAGAGTAGCTGGACACTGAGCTCTCTGAGTCTGACTCTGGGTCTGGAGGCACTATCACCGCGGCAGGCTTAGGAGCATTCTTCAGATGGTCTCTCATCTCCTCTGTCAGTCCGCCCATCCCAATGCTAGTAAAGTAATTGATGGAGAAACGTGTGTCGCGAGGATTGTCCAGCGGAAACAAGCCTTCGAAGTAAGGGCGTTGGAGAGGATCCTTGAGGCGGGTCTGGAGTTTTGCCATGCCGAGAGCTTCAGCCAGATCTTGAATCAGAATCTTGATGAATATGCGACTACTGCTAGTGGTTTCTTCTTCGTTCAGATGAATTATGGACAGCACATGCCATCCAGTCGCGTCGCTCGAGAGCATGTGGCCCCAAAATCGAGCGATGTTGCGAAGTCTATTGGTCTCGAAGCGATGAATTGTGCTGAAATAATGTTCAAAGCTTGCCTCGAACTCAGTGGCCCAAAGGCGATTGAGCTTCGCAAATCGTTCCCCCAGAAGACCGAAGAACTTAGAGTAGGTTTTCTCCTGACTGCAGCATTCCACGATCATGCTCGGAAGCTCGGATTCTTGCCCTGGGGGTAGGTTAATCTTCATGAGCTTATGACAGGCTTCCTCAAAGTCAATGGAGCTCATGATTGTCAAATAGATCGTCCTGCGCAGGTTGACTAGGTCCGTATTTGTCTGATCTTTGATTTCCAACTCTCGTTCTGCGGTTTCCTCCGGGCCGCTCTCGGAGCCAGAACCGCTTTCATACTCGTCCCCATCGTCTTCGCCATCGGCTTCCCCAAGAATTTCGGATTTGAGCTTCCTATAAGCTTCTTCATGTTCTTCAAATTCAGCGTCGTATTTGAAGATGTTGAGGCCGTCCTCGACATCCAATTCATCATCTAGACCGATTCGATGAGTGATTTGATCTTCCTCCTCCACTAGGTCTAGGTCCTCGGGAATGCTGACGTTGTCCTTGTATTTGTCCTTGCGAATCTGGAACAGGACCTCTATCATAAATTGCGTGCGGTTCTCAATGTCTGAGTCATTCAATATATGCCGGAACTGGTCAAATATTGCATTGGCAATTGCAGGATTCATTTCTTCAAGATGCTGACCGCATTCCTGAGTCAAACTGACTGCAATCTCCACTGAGTCGTCTGTTGGATGGTGAAGCAACAATAAAAGGATCTGTGCCGCTATCATCTCGTGGCAGACCTGTACATTTGTGAGCTGGGCCAAAAAAGTTGTCGAAGCTCGCAAGACCGGCTTGTCGTTCCTTTTGAAAGCTTTCTTAAACTGTACGACTAGACGTTTCACTAGCAGCTCACCAACCTGAGGAAGCTTTGTGTTGACTATAGCTACCATTGCCGCGTACACCGGAGAAAATGGAAGAGCCTGGGCCTGGGAGCGTTGGATACTTCTGCAAAACAACCCTGTGATGAGGTCAATACGCTGTATATGAGGTATTGGGAATGATATCCTAGAAACAATTACCTTTTCCTCGTATAAGGTTTTCTCCGAAGAGCTCTGGCACAATGTTCTTGATATTGCCAACATTAACCTTATTGACGAGTCCATTGATACTCTTCTTCAGCGCCTCCCACGCCATACGCTGGTACTCTTTACTAGCCTTATCCGTAACCTGACTCTGCAACGCCCGTAGCCGCGCAGGCGGCACATAGGTCCCTCCAGAGCGGGCACTCAGTAGCTTATTGTATTCCTTCTTCGCGAGCTCTTGCTTGTCCTCGGCGGTAAGGGGTTTCGAATCCACAGGCTCTGCAGCACGCTGGCGCAGACGCTCTGTGAGATGGCGCACGCGCTCATCGGCATTCTTTGAGCTGGGATCTTTTAGGAAGGAGCCTCCACCGAATCCATTTCGCGGTGGTGAACGACGACGGACTGGGGAGGGTGAGCGGGATGGGGGGGAGCGCTTGCGGGGGTTGAATGATGATGGGTAGGTGTCTTGGGGAGGAGGGGTGGGCAGGCGGACAGCTGAGAGCATCATTATGGTGCTCCGAGCGTATGGTGAGGGATTTTGGGATATTGATTTGAAATATTGATTTGAAGTTGGTTAGTGAGCCATGGCAGGATTTCTTGTGTTTGGTGTGAGCCGGAGGTCAAGTGCACTAGTGCCGATTCAGCCCTACCAGTACTTGTATGGCACATTGAGATTCACTTGCTGGCCCAAATTTGAATAATTTCAACAGAGGCATACTTTTCTGACACATACACGAGGTCTCTCTCTCGCTATTGCTGGATAGCATACACTCCTTCACCCATTGCGCCATGGTTTGATACTCCCAACCCACGCATACGCCTGACCCGCTGACGTCTCCTTCCCAGCTTGACAGACTAGTCGGGCTAGCAATGCTCATTGTAGCGACTACAGTCTTTCTCTACTATACCACATGGACGCTTCTCATGGTACGCCCTATGGAAGATTCGAACCGCTACCTCTATCTCTTACTCTACATCCCTCTCCCGTCTCTTCATAAACGTCTGCTGATACCTCTGCCCCTAGCCCTTCGTCGACCAAGGGCACCCCCTCCACGACTTCTTTCCGCCCCGCGTCTGGGCTATTCGCATACCAGTCATTCTCATCCTTCTCGCTTCGGCAGTTGTAGGGAGCTTTTTGAGCGTGGTCATGATACGGAGTAATCGGAAGAAAACAGCGAAGGCAAGGGCGGCAGAGGCTGGGAAGAAGAAGGCTTAGGGGACAGGCGAAGAGGAGGTGTAATATGTATGGAGATCGGAGCTTTCTGTGTGATCTGTACAGTATCTACAGGATTTGCAAGGCATAAATGCAACCGTTTCTGAGCCGGCTGTGCATTTCGGGATCGATACACTAATTATGCTGACAATGAAGGGGCTGAGAGACAAGAATTGTGCTCCTGGACATCTCAAAGTTTGGTATTTGGAAGAATTCATGTGGGCTGTGAAGTTCATGGTCAATCATTGCTCCCGACAGAGGCAGGTTGGCGGTTGAATTTTCTTTCAATTATTCCTCTCAAACTCGTCAGGTTCTTGAAATGATGAGATCGCTGGAAGCACAGAGGGGTAACGGTCGAGAGGCCCGGAAAGAATAAGCACTCGCGTCGTCATGCGTTGGAGACAGAATTAAGCTGCAGGGTAATGTGGAGAACTGAGTTCTGTGCGTTGGATCAACTATGTAACCATTACTTCAAATCTGGTACTCAGCGCCAAATCCCGAAAAAGAAGGGGGAAATTAATGTCCTGTGGTGATGGCCCGAGCCCGACTGACGGTACCCTGGGTTATAGGGCTAGCCTGGAAGAGATCCATCAACAATGGTTGGCCCCCGGGCAGTGGACGAAGAGCTCGCACCAAGGATGGGAGCGCCGCTACCCTTGTGTCTTCGAGCAGCCCCACTAGTGTCCGGTATCACCTGCAATTTCTTCCCTTGGAAAGAACATTCTGAACATCCTCTCAGTCTCTCTACAGCTATATTGGCATCCGCCTCTTTTGAAAATGTAACAGACCACTTGTTGTCTTCACCTGGCTTGGGCTTCTTATGCTGCACGTACCGAGGCATCTTTTTATCAAGGAGCTTACTGAGGTCCTCCGGAGTCACTCCAGGCCCGACGTGCCGAATGATGATTTTATAGCCTTGGTCACGTTCGGTTCCTTGAGATATGCCCAGGGGTCCATATTGACTTGGGGAACTTGATGGCGTGCCGGGATACGCGTGGCTACGTTCGCTTGAAGTACTCACATTGTGAGAGGCGTAAGGGGTTCCCGGAATGCTTGTTGTGCCATCATCTGTTAGCGCAACGTAACTGGAGCCACAGGACGCTAAGAGGGTGTTGGACATGGTCGAGATGCTCGAAGATCTTGATGTTCCAGCAATTTCGGGTGAGTTGTATAGATATGGCGGGGCTTGGCCATAAAATTGTGGGCAGGATTTTACACCAGCAGCACCGGGTGAAAGTTGAGATGCTGGTATGATGCCAGTTTGCATAGAGGAGTCGGCCATTGGAGAGACAAAAGCTGGGGGTGGCGGCATAAAATCCCACGAGGGTGGGTAAGGGTTCGCAAGGGTTGGGTTAAATGCGTGGCCAGGAGCTGATCTGGGACCCCGTTGGTTTGCGGACCTACGATTCCCCTGTATAGAACCTGATGGGCGCACTCCTGGGTGAGCGTGCATGGTACCCGCTGGTACGAAGTTGACAGGTTGCGATACAAACGTCGATGGTATAGCCCCATCGAACCCGAATTCAGTGAGCGGTTTCATGTTGCCAGTTGTCTTGTCGAACAGATACAGCGAGGCTTGTAGTACGGTCTCGTACCCTTCATGACGCCATACATAGTGATGAATTTTGTCTGAAACAACAATTTCAGCAAGGCCCTATCTTAGAAAATTGCAAAATTCTCACAGTATGCGTCCCAGGCATCGGCTTTGTTCCTGAATGGACACATTGCCTTATCTTTATATAACACGTTATTTATTGGCAGGCCGACGTCGAGTCTCATGTTGTCTGGATAATCCACAACCCCCCGCATCAGGTCCTTGACCGGTTTAAAGCTTACCTCGGGGGGTAAACGCCATACATTCTCCGGCAACTAATCACAAGAGGAGTCATCAGCGAATCCGCACCTCTCGAAACATACTGAACGCAGAATTTACATTGGCAAGAATTAACTTGAACTCCCCGCTGGAATCCCGACTACTTCGAGACCCAGACATTGCGGGGGCCGAAGACTCGACGGCCAATCAGCGCCTCCAAAGGGTCTTAGAATCTGGATTCGCGGCTTCCGTTGTTGCCCCGGACTATGATGGTGTGGTATTCGATGGCCGGCGGTCTTTTCTTGGCTCGGACACCTTCGGAGACCGTGTCTGGATTCTTGAGGCTTAGGTGACACCTTTGTTTGGGGGCTGAGGGGACGATTTGGGCAACCCGGACTGAGAGACCGAGAGCAGATTCAAAATCTAAAATGCCGACATTCGCACAGCGATGGCCAGAACACCTGAATTCTAGCCCGAGCACATTTAGAAAGATGAGCGGCGACGAATAGACCCAACCTAGCGCATCGATGTCAGTCTTCCAATGTGAACGGACATAGGAAAGCAGCTGGTGACACCCGATTGTTTGGAATGGATTGTGGCATGTGATGGGCAGGACGAACAGGACGAACAGGACTCCCAGCCCATGAACCATATTGTAGGGTGGGAGTCCCTAGTCATAAGAGAATCCGAATGTCTGGGCCTCGTTAAAGGCTCTATTTGCACATTACAGCCCTAGAACTGAGCTAACCAGGCAATGATGATGAACACTCTCAACGAAGAGCGTTTGCTCACCTTGAGTGTAAAGCCAAGCCCTGCAATGCCCGAAATTTTTCAAAAATGCACAACAGCCCGAAGAAATGTGGAGGATAGAGATGAACGCTCTATGTTAATGCACTTTACGATTCGAAGCATAAGGAGAAGGTGTCAGGCTAAGGATGTAGGATCAAAGTTTGGCTGTGAAAAGAATTGACCAAGGAGCACAGTATATATGAAGAGGACTTTTCAAGAGTCCCAGGTATTGCACCAGCTCCTCGATTCTGGGGGGCATATAGAAATACCTCAATCGGGAAAATGTCTCTGATGCCTTGAGTCGATTTGGGGGAGGTAGGCAGGCAGGCCGCGGAGTGTCCCGAGCTGTTGGGTAGCACGCTTCATGCACGTCAAAGGACGTACAATTGTGATGGACATCTGGGACAACAATCGGAACACGGCAGATGAGATATTTCCATGTCTCCGATGGGAGAACTTGATCATTTCCGAATGAACTCGTCATATGATCAACTAACGCTGGATAGAGGATTTGACAACAGTGACAGCGCAGCAATATTGAGAGTTGGAAGTACACAAGCACAATTGTGACTCTACCGAGACATGAAAACGTTTCATGTCTTGTTTCCTATTTCATGTCGTGTTTTCTAACACGCAATCCGGGGAAGAAGGAACTTCTTGATGTCTGCTATGAAATCAAGCATGCGGCGCAAGCGGTCCGCTGCCCCTTCGCCAGACCGTATCCATTTTTGGGCTATAAAATATTGTCGGCGTCAATCATTGGCGGAGCAGAAATGGCGGTGAACGACATTGAGAAAGTGTGGGGGAATGATTGAGAGAGCTGGACCCTGGGGGTAGTCGAGAGACAAGGATATCCCCAGGAAGTTCGCCTCTCGACTATGCATCGGGACTCTTTGTGCTACCTGGAGGTTCCGTGGTAAGCAGGAGGGGCTAACCCGAAGGGGCTTAGCCAGCGAAGAAGGAGCTTAGCACGCTCTGAGGGACTGAGGCAAGACATCGACGAACACTTGGCGGTTCGGCATGTCATATCGTGCTTTGCGAAGGGAACCGAAAACGCATAGCTGCAGGAGTCGAACCCTAAGACCGCGAGATGCAGAACCTCGAACTCAATAAACGCGCAGAACAATGAAGTGTCGGCACGAAGAACGTCAAGACATGGAGACTTAGCTGGCGATCGTAAGTATGGAACGAGAAAAATCAAAAGGTTCAGGCAAAAGCAGAGATATGCGCTGGAGAAATGTCCAATATGGAGATTTTGGGGAGCAAAGGAGAGAGGCACACGTACGAGGATCAGCACTCTAGACACCTGGAACTCACATTGGAAGTTAAAGGTATAGGGACACTTTCATAATGTGTCAACGCCAGGGACGCCCTGCTTCATTCTAAACATACTGTTGCCGACCTCTTGACCATGCGGCTGGATCCATACGGTCGAAAGCCCCGGTGCATAGCGGCCGGATTACTCACAAGCTTCCTCTCCTGGGAAAACTGACCCCTTGGACAGCTCCGTGATCTGTGAACCATGACACCTTCTCCGCTCCGCCTTCATTGACCAATCCGCATGGCAGGCTCCTTCCTTCCTCTGTATCCAGAATCTTACTCAAGATCTCCCTCTTGCCTTCACCCGTTGCCACGAAAGCTATCTTGATCCCTCCCGTCACGACTGGTAGCGTCAGCGTGATTCTCTTCTTTGGCGGCTTCGGGCTGTCTTCGATGGGTGCTACCCAGGCATCTGATTCGCGCAAGAGTTCGTGATTGGGGAAGAGCGAGCATGTATGTCCGTCCGGTCCGCAGCCCAGGAGAAGGAGGTCAAAGATGGGGATCTTGACGCTGTCTTTGGCTGCGAAGGACTTCATGAGAGCGTCTTGGTATTGGTCTGCCATCTCTTGCACGTCACCCATATAGTGCACGTCGATGGGATGGACGATGGGCTTGCCCATGCTCTCGGGTATCTTGTCCAACAACTCATCTTTCAGAACTTTGTAATTGCTGTCTTCATGGTCGAGGGGGACGGCCCGTTCATCTGCGAAGAAGACTTCCCATTTGGAGAAATCTACTTTCCCCGCTTCATCGTCTTGGGCAAGCAGGGCTTTTGTGAGAGTTTTGGGCAGCGAGCCACCCGATACGGCGACCTTGAAGGCGTTGTGGCGTTCGAAGCCGGCGCTTTGACACTGGAGGACATACTTTCGCAGGGCTGTAGCTAGGCTGTCGATGCCGTCAAACGAATACAGGTTGGGTTGCTTGCCCATGGTTCTGGTAGTTGAAGAGAAATGTGAGGTGTGAAATGTGAAATGTGAGCTGTGTGAAGTGTGAAGTGTGAATCGGTTTGGCGGGGTATGAAGATTAGGTGTGTACTTTTACCCGGTAGATAAGTCGGATCTGCAGTCACGATAAGTATCCATCTCTTGGCAACGGGTGTTCCCGCGAAACTCTCTTTACAAATTACAGCTGCTTATTACTATAGCTTTAACACGTAGTAACATTGCTTACATCCTTTATTAGAGTATGTCATTCTTCAATATGTCTTTCTTTCCATCTTACCTCCTACGACTCGCGCTGTCATCTCCACCAGGCAAAGGAGGAAGCGGCTTGTTAACAGACTTGAGCTCCTCATACAGCTGATCTCGCAACTCAATCCTCATCGCGCTAATCTCTTCATCTGTCCAATCCCTGACGCGGGCTACCCTGGTCATCTCGCGTCTCTCCTCGTGAAAGTCAGCTGTCATTTTCCTCTTCAACTCCTCCACGCATTTGGAACAGAATGGTATCTGTGGGTCGAGGGAAGAGCTGTCGATGCGGCTGATCATCGTGGGGCACCGGTTGGGTCGGGGAGCCTCCCGGCAGAAGACGTACTCAATCTTGAGTGTATGTCGACAATTGGACCCGAGGACAGAGACCAGTTTGCACATGTTTTCGTGCAAGTGTAGATGGTGAATCGGTGGGGTTTCTGTGATATTTGCTGTGCTTGTAGCCGATTTACTGAACTGATACGATGACTATCGGGATGCTGCCACGAGGCTACGAGGGATCTTATGGCGGCGGAGTCCATTGCTGAAAGGGAATTGGTGGCTTTGTTCCGTAGTACAAGTGACACAATTATCATTGTGTTAGTGGTCAAACGATTTGCATTCGTGCCTCTACTGAATCTCGACTAGATCCTTATCTTTGTTCCCCTACCGTTTGTCCAAAGTGGCGAATTGTGTGTTCTTCGTAATAGTGATAGCAAGGAAGTCCGCTTCGCTGACTCATGCATACCTCAAGCTCCGGAAGTTGCGGTGCAAGCGGTATCATATCTCTGACCATGCTGATTTGCCTTTTGAAAGCGAGTATCGATTAACGAAATTGTTGAGACAGTCTTGGTATGCCTTGGCTCTGACTACTGAGAATCGAAAGTATAGTATGGAGGTACATGTTGACAGTATGAGGTCTTTAGTTTCCGTTGATTTTCTTTTCTTTCTTTTACATCCATGATGAATAAGACCATTAATTTCAGAACCCATCACTCCCACATCCTTGCTGTTAAATTTCTCATGTATCTCCTCGTACCTAATGCCTTGTGATTCAAGACATAGCTTGTGCAATAGTAACGTCATACAACAACCACACAGGATAAGATGCTTCTTGAAAGCCACCTTTCCCTACTACAGCTTGACAGACTCCGTGCATCTGTCAACCACTGGTGCTCGTAGCTGATTTGCACGCTCTGTCGACGCAACATCCCTGCAAATGTCGCTCTGGCGGCCACCAGAACGACTTCCGTTCCTACCGGGTACGGATTTATCGTGGCGATCGCCGTCAAAGCGACAACCGAAGGGACATACCCGCACCAACCTAGCAAGATCTGTGATCGAGTCTAGTACTAAGCCCACGGGTACGCAGAGCAGGGCATCAGGGGAGGATCTCAAGGATCGAAATTGGCTTCCAACTATCCGGAAGTCACAAAACATTAGCTCTCAGCGTCAGAGATGCTTGCAATACGCTTATCATTTTGCCTCTTCTTCTCTATCCACGTACGTTACATACCGGCCCTGGTCCCGGTGCCCGTCCAAAGTTCCGCGGCATCGCTCTCCGAATATCCCGTCGATTGCAACGCCCATGATTTCGGACGAGGTCTCAGCGCGTCCGACTGCGCGTCAGCCATCGCCAAACTCCCCGCCGACCAACCCGGGGACGTACACATGGACCTCCAGAGGCACCAGATGATCTACCCTGAATTCAGCCCCGACGCTTTTGAAGATCGCCATCGGTTGCCTCTTGTCCGGGAGGCGGGAACTTGCGGTGTGAGCGTTCGCTTGGCGTCGCCTTTCATGTTCGATCATTCCTCCTGGCGGATCATTCGACTGAGGGTTGGGGATGTCCTTCGCTGTTGTGTGGAGTTCGGGGCCCTTGAAATTGGTGGATGTACTATCACGGGAGGGGCAAAGCGTGTGGAACTGACGCTTTATTCGACGAGCGAGTCGTCTGATCTGAGCTTGATGCTGTCGAATACCACGATTGCAGTTGGCCGATGAGTGAAAAAGGTATGGTTGTGAGCTTAAGATGTTTTACGAACGTCACCGCTGTCGCTCTGAGGAGCATTAAATCTCCGTGGTGGTTTCAGCATGTTGGGAAACAGTGAAATTCATGGTTCAACGATAGACCAGATATGATAATTGAAGAAGTGTAAAGCTGTATCATCTTACATTTGAATGGATTAAGGTTTCAAAATTCTTGCAACGTGGACCTCTGTACAGTAATTTTGCTTATCATCACCACGTTTTGAGTGGGATGGTTAATTAGTTCACGGCCATGTTACTGCTCCTATACGTAGAGTCGACCACGATTTCATATGTCCAGCTACTCTTCAGCTCACATACACTTCATTCGAGCAACACATCTTTACCACCCAGCTCACACCTGGTAGGGTCCCCTACTCCACTCTCACATCGCGCCTTCCGACACACACAGATCGGCCCTTTTTTCGCTATCAGCTCTCTACTACATCTGGATTTCACCAGCCAGCCTCTCAACAAATCCTGATAACACCCACCATTGACTCAGGACGGAGCGTATACGGGAACGATACATCTTGTCCGGTAACCCACCAGATCCCACACCACTGCATCTCAGGTCGTGCGGGTTCTTGCCCAAATCGATCGTATCGTTGGCGTAGTACGCCACATCGAGCACCCCGTGCCCGGATGCAAGGTCGCCGCTTTCGCAATAGTCTGGATTGAACCAGTTGCTCAGACTGATCGAGAGGACCCAGGGGAATTTCGATTCTGGAATAGAAGCTCATCGTCAGTATTCTCCCTATGAGGACGAGCGACCACAAGGGTAAAACAGGTTCTGTCAGTCCAGGGGAGGGGGAGAGGCGAGGGGCGGTTACCGCAACCGACCGTCCCGTTGCTATCGAGCTTGTATACTCTCCCTTTGTTAGGGTACTCCTGCGTTTTGATCGTGACCGAGCAGCTATCTATGTAGTCTAGGATAAAGGAGAAAGAGCCGACGGGTACCCCGTTGTAACCGTCAGACCAGCAGTCCGCCTGCGTGGGATTGCACGAAAAATCCCTGGCAATGAGATCATCTTCAGCTTCAATGCCACTGTCGGCAGGTGCGGCCATTGTGGCTGTGGACAGGAACGCGAGAAGTGTCAGAACTTGAAGACGGTGGAGACGCATGGTGCTCGGCTCGTGGAGTGCGAAGGTTGATGAGGGTGTGTAATGCGTTCGAAGAGGTGACCGAGAATGATGATCTGGCTCTGGGATTGTGGGCTTCGAGCTCAAGACGCAGGGTTGTGAAAAAGGGTTCTAGAAGCAATAGTGAATTGGTTGTAATGAGCTGCTAGAACTTCTTTCGTTTTGCGGGGAAACGGTCTTTTTATATTGAACGAGATGGTACGAAATGACTTTTTGTTGCCAAGGTAAAGAGCTTGCAGCAGAACCTTGAGAGATGCCTATATACTTACTCCTACGTACTCACCGCACACCGACTCTTTGTGAAAGAATATTTCCCAGTCTCAGGCGACCCTTTCATGTCTTTAGTGTTAAGGATTCGTAGGTGGCTTTCCGAAGCTGAAGCGCGATGACCGTATAACGAGAAGGCAGGTAAGACCTGGGAAAGCGAAACCGAAGCAACTGAGCCAAACGGTCTTGACCCTTGAAAGCGGCTCGAAACATGGTAGCCAGTGACCGAAGTTTAGCCCATAGCAAACGACATTCCCACGCTTGGACCGTGTTTTGCTTAGGACGAGTGCAGACTTGATAGTACTACCGACGTCCAATATAACTTCTCGAGTTCAGCAAGCTAGATGACCGATGAAAGCCAACCTGGGCACATGGTTTTCAAGATCATGGAAGGCTTAGTGTCAATCTTTCTAGAAACCGGGTATGGTCATTTACTTTTGCTGAATGATTGTTCCATGATTTATTAGCCTATCGATCTTATTACACGCAGGTTATATCAATACCATTCATTCATGTCCATCTACACTCGGACTTCTAGCTTCCTGAGAGTAAGACATCTCTTTATGCGATAGACCGTGGAAATCTTCATCGAAATGGACTTTCTTAGCCTCATCGAACGCTGCTTGAGAAGGTGATTCGCAATTAGAAAACGTAAGTCGAAGTGCGAAACAATATCGCTAAAGGGCATGTTCCGGGGAGGCGTGCGAATCACTAACCCTCAGGGTGATATCAAGTGGCTGAGACTCGGACGCAAGCACAAAGATAAACATTTTTTCCCGAGAGGCTGAAACAAGCCTGTGAGTGACCCGTCTGTCCTATGCTCTGCGATCCCTACTCTGGGGAACGAGCTTTTTCTTTTAAGAAAAAGCAGGTAAGCTGGACGTGTCAACTATACTGACGACTAGACCTCTCCCTTTGTTGGCCCCGGGGTAATTGTTTCAATGATATCAATCAATTCCTATTTATTCTCCAGCACCCAGTCCAGCTTATTGTTTTTCTGTCTCAAAACGACACATCTATACGGAATCAGCAAGCAGTAAAGGTGCTAAGAAACCAAGAGCCTATCGTGTGTCTATTGCGGAAGAAGAACACACCTGAATAGAAAAGCTCGTATTTTTGCTTGAAGTCTAAGGTAGAAGTTGATCTAGATCGCATACACAGAGCAAAAAAAAGTCCTTGATACGGATCGACGACCCTTCGGCAGCGTAAATAAAGACGTGTACAAAAGAAGGGAGAGAAGTCATATACTATGAAATACTTCATCCTGAAGCATTGATATGTCTATAGGCGGTTAGTCTTTTCCACGGAAGGAGACGGTAAGATTAGACGGTGCACCCCTCAGACCGTGGCCGACAATGGCGTCGAATGGTTCTCGAGCGCTACAGATCCCAACATGACCATTCTACTCGCAAGGACGCCAAAAGGAGGCGTCTCGGCTTTCTGTGCACCTATGCGGCGGACTGTCCACCATAGTGAGAGCTTAGATTCTTCAAACCGAAGTCCAAAAGCTCAATGGCGTAACGATTCAGCGGCTGGGATGAAAACATGAGACTCGTCCTGCTTTGCCAACACACGCACCTGTCTTCTCGGGACCCTCGGCCAAGGGACAAAGGAGATCAGCACAATTCTCAACGTCACTCGAGTACACGATGCCGTCAGCGCGTGCGGGCTGTGGGGCCGTGGTCTCGCGATCAGCAGGGTATTTGCCCGCGCGCGCTACGTACGTGGGACGTCGTCGATAGATCTACCTGCAGAATGCCGGACGATGGCAAACTGAAATCTGGAGTATCGAGCGAACATGCAGTCAATGTTCTTAGCCGTCGCATTACTGGGAACATCGGAGCAATCTGTCAGCATTCAAGCATCTGTCTCCTCCGCAGCCGCTTTCATGCCGAAGAAACCCGCGGCGATGTTACTGTTGAGGGTGCTGACTCCAACTATGGAAGCTCTGATGGCCAAAGCGGCCAATTCGGGCCTAGGGAATGTATGGAGTCTCTCGGCGGCGGTGGCTATATCGATTCTATCTTATCACTAGAGGTCGAGACCAACATCGCACGCGTTTACCGCGATGCCAATGCTTTGAGCATTTGGGGAGGTACAACAGACACTTTATGGCTGATGACACGGTCTACGTATTGAAAGGCAAAGGGGGTGCGGAAGTGCTCCGGCCGTCGGAGAATTGGGTGGGCGCGGGTGCGGAGCGATGAAAAACTGCAGAAAAGACCGATGCGGCTTGCTCTCGCGCCGTATGGAATTTTTGGCGGCAATGGGTTGCCAATACTACACGGGAGATAGCTCATGGAGGGTTTCGGAAGGGGTGGTATGTGCGGTCTCGTTGATGGCTAGGGAGAGCCGGAATCGTAATGGAAAGTATTCAATTGAGTATATGGTATATGGCTTCGGCGGAGGATAGAAGAGTACACCACCCGTCAGCTTCAATCCCGTTGCCACACCTGACCTTTTTGCGAGCCACGAAACTCTCGCTCTTCTGGACTTGACCAATGCTTACGAGTACCTCGAATTTGGAGCCACGGGACATTCCCACATCCCATGGTTTGGCCAAGAGATTGTAGCACAGTCACTGTGACCGGGAGCCATAGTAAGGTATGTTCCGATGGCTTTACGAAGTTGTCCTATGAATAATAATAATGAATCATCTTCATTCCACGTATGAGAGGTACGTACTCTAGTACCTCTTGGCGTTTGATGCAAGGTACGAAGAGTGAGGTCGTCATCGTACTCGCGTCTTTCTTTTGCCGGACCCTTGCGGACCCCAGTTTTAAACTGTCGCATCATGGGCGGAGGAATCGGCGATGTGTCAGCCTGTAGTCCGAATGTGAGTTCCGAATCTCCGGCCTCTGATCGAAATCATTCTGCCCTTTCGGTCGAGAACACGATGTCCATACCGGATGTCCATACCGGGCTTATGCGAAAGATAAAAAGTGGATGTGCAGGTGGGGGCTTACATCAGCCATAGAAGACATTTCAATTGGTCAATGCAGCTGATTGAAAAGGGTGACGAATATAATTATATCTTGATCCATCTCTTTAAATACCAATTTTTCTACTTACTTTTCCCTCGCCAAAAAGTCCTCCAATCTCATAACATTCACATTCATCTATTCATCATTAGCTATTCCGCCATTTTCAATCAAGACCCATCAACCTCTAGAGAGCCCACCACTTCACGGACCTTCCCCTATCTTTGACGGAAACTCTTCTGGACACCATGTCCGCCTCAAGCTTCCTCCAACTACAAACTCGAGCGGCTTACCCACCCGGGAGACCCCAAAACCAACCTGACAAAGACATCCAATTCCGTACATCTCGCTCTTCCAGCACATCCGCCTCTTCTCCACCATCATCCCCCGAGTCATCGCCTTCCCACTCACCCTCGACAGACTGCGCCCGCTGCTCTCGCTGTCATCGCTCTGTCAGTGTCGACGGCTCATTTCCTTCAATGACTGGCGTCAGCTTTGGAACCAACTCATACTATTGCCAACGATGTGCGAAACTGGTCGGCTACGGAACGTGAGACACGTCAGAGGGCACCACCCAGAACATTTCCCACGTGCAGACCTTTGCATCCAACAGATCCGCTCGTTCTCTACTACAGCAAACGCCATCTGTGTCCTACGATTCACGATTACAATGCTACCCGAGATACCTACCAAGGCTATTACCAACACCCCTGCTTGTACTCCCGCTCTTTACTGCTCGGGCATCGGGAGCGGGAGTCATCGGATTCATCGGGTTAACATACATACTTGATGGTGATGATCAGCTCGGCCAGCAATACACGTCGGTCTTCTGCCAGGGATGGCATTACAGACACGAAGGAAGGCAGGAGACGCAATGACGGATGAGATGATGGAAAATCTGTTATGCGTACAGACACGAGCTAAAGGCAATGCCATGCTGAGCGCAGTACGCCAATGCGATTGAGAGATTCGCCCTGTCTTGATAGCGGAACGGCACGTGATGTCCCCGGGTTGAATTGGATAGCCTTAATAACGAATTAGCATAGATGTTGTTGAATCTCAAAGCAATTCAATCAATGAAACAGTTCAATCCTCAAAGCAAATCTCCATAAACAAATTAGTTCTCTAAACTCCGTAATGTCTAAGACCAGCCCATACTTGCCCTACGACGCTAAATAGATCATCCGGTAGGTTAATAGTGGCGCGCTTTTGATAGTAGTGCACGTGATTTAAATAGATAAACAAATATGGGCACTCTTACAACACCTCATCTCCCACACCTCCAGTATCCTACTCTCAATCCTCATGACCGCCGTCTCTATCTAATCAGCGGCCTTGTGCAAGAGCCCCATTGCCATACTGCGTTGACTCAGGGGGTATAAGACTGGTGCCTTTGTTGATCACCACCGCAAAACTACGTGTTTACAATAGCCTCCCAAGACATGGACAAAGCAATAGCCCAAGGTGATCGACCTTTGCGTCGAAGAAGTATGCTTCCTCAGAAGACTAGCATCAAGCCATTCTCAAAGCCGATGGGTTCTTTTCCCGAGCAAGACGGCTACGAAGCTGAAGGACAGCCTGCTGCACTCGGGGAAATACAGGCTTCGGCAGTATCTCCCACGGCTCAAAACAAGGCTGCTACTATGCTGCCATCCAGAAAACTGCTGCCATATGCTGGTATGCCGCCGCCTGTCAGTCTCGGACGAACAAGTTCGAAACGAGACTCTGCAAAAATTGGCCATCTTCCGAGGCAACCTTCAACCAGCCGCAAATCAAGCAGGGGCAGCAATGGCAATGGAGCATATCCAAGTCAGGATCACAGAAATCTGTCCCAGCCACGTCTTCCAGTAAGGACAAGCTCTACGGGATCAGATCCGCAGTCAAACGCCAGAGAGTCCTATCATGGCCGGTCCTTGAGCCAGCAGGTGAGACCCACTGCCACATCGAACCCTCTGCCCTCGAAAGTCTTCACTCACAGAGAGTCATCTATAAAACATCCAAGACCTGCATTTTCGGCCATGCAGCAGCACTTTAGCCCGAAGAAAAACAGACAGCCAGATCCCCCTATCCTGTCGTCCCAGCCGGCGAGCAAGGACGAGATTCCATCTGCTGAGGTTCTTGACCTGCAAATGGAGATGGCTCAATTGCACCTTTTGCACCGTTCCGCCCTCTCTGTACAAGTTCAATGGGAGAAAAGCGCCAAAAGGTCTTTTGAGCACCGGTTCAGTGCTCTCTACGAACAGCATACTGAGCTCAAGGAGGTCGCTCACCAGCAACAGAGCCTTATTAACCAGTCATCGTTAGTCCAATGGTCTCAAGGTAGATCAGGTGTCCAAATTGCCGAGAAGGCGCAGCTCTTGTCACACAACCTTTCGGAAATCTGTAATCTCTTGGATTCAGAAGGAAAGTATACTCACATCCTCAATATTTTTGAGTCGTGGTTCGCACAAGCTCTACGAGTCCGTGGTCAACGTGAATCTAATGGTCGAAAGACCGGTAGAGACTTCGACTTCATTGAAGGTATTGGGGATGGTTGGAAGGCCGAAGCTATGGTTCTGGAAAGGGAATTGACATACTCTGCCCGCGATCTTGAAAGCTTTGGAGAGGTCCAAAGTCCTTCAAATCTATGCCGAATACTGTCTATGTACAGAAAGCTGATAATTGGGCTGCTTGAGGAGCTTGACCTCATCCAGTGGATTGAGAATGAGGTCATGAATCGGGAGACCTCGTGGGTTGAGAGCGCAATCCGCAATCTCGCCTCCAATGTTAGCGAGGACATCGGCTCTATGGGCCCAGACCGGAAAGCTGCCTAATATTGAGAGTATGGCCCATGCGCGAAGGCGAAGGACGCGTTGGACATGAAAAGAATGTGTTCCTTCACGGTCGCACCCAAGCAGCACTTGCTCCGTTGACTTGGGGCTGAGTGGGTTGGACTCGCTTTTGTAAGTTGAACATTATTGAGCAGTAATCAGATGAGTTGAAATCCTGACCACATCTCCAATACTAGCCATCCTGGGCGCCCACTATCAGGGTTGTCCGCCCATTCCCTTCGACTTTCGCTTTTGCCCTCCAACTATCAAACAACCCGAACCATGGCAATACTATGGCTAGCCGCCCCCGAACCAGCGTCGCTCATCTTACAGACTACCCTAAAGAAAGATGCAATTAGTGGCACGCCACCACGCCGGGCTCGCTTGACGTGCGAGTTATCCTCTATATAACGTAACAAGCGATACTAGACGTAACAAGCGATACTGGATGTTAATTTCAGGCTCACCTTCTCATTGACCAGGCATTCAAAGATCTCGTCGAATTTTCGAACGGCGTGGGCTTTAGCCTGCAGATGTTGAGTCAGCACTATAATTAACGAGCTGATTACTCAGGAATCCCAACGCGCCTCGTACATCGATCTAGCCCTTTTGGATACCTTGGATATTCTTAAAGAGATCTACATGCATTACAAGCTTCAACGCTGATGGTCTTTCGAGCGTTAGTCCGGCGGGAGTATCCTCCTACTCGGAGACTCCACCTGGGCAGATTGGGGCTATAATTGATACCTCATACATACGCAGCGGCTAGAAGGAGGGTATGGAGGCCCATGGCCGCGAGTTATATCGGTCCTGAGGGGACTTCGCCCAGAAGTTGAGGAGTTCGTGACGGGATAGCGTCTGCCGGGCTTATTTGCTATTGCGCCGGCGTACATTTCTGCAGGTGCGCTGATCCATTTATCAGCTATCTGCCCGAGTCCAGCGCCCACTAACATCCAACATCCAGCACTCCTGTAGAATCTGTTTCGTCCTCCAGGCTCAAACCTTCAAGCTGGTATTGTTGAAACCCTTCCCCCCAACTCAGAGTGTGCGCGTGCCCCGCAGATTGTGAGATATTCCAGATGCTGGGCGTAGCGCACATCTCCAATATGAACCAACCGAACCGCCTGCCTTTAGGACTAAAGAGGAGGTCTGATTTCACTGACCCTGGACGCCTGGAAAGCTACCATTTGCCTCGTCCACAACAATCACATACCTCCCAGTCCTCCGACGCATTCACAAGCCCGCACAGCTCCCAAGCAGGACAGACGCCAAAGGCTGTTGGGCAATTGGCATCTCTCACGACCCGACAGGGGATCTCGTCTGACGTGGTCCGGACCCGAATAGATGCGTCCTTTCACGCTTCGTCGCCTAAGATGAGGCTACCATCCCCATCGCCAACGTCATCTGCTACGTTCG